GCGGCATGTGGGATCTTCCCGGACCGGGGCACGAACCCACGTCCCCTGCATCGGTAGGCGGACTCTCAACCACTGTGCCACCAGGGAAGCCCCCATGAGCAATCTTTAAAGCTATATTAGTCTTAGGCGCTGCCTCCATTATTAATAATTAAAATGATGAGCAAGATCTTCAAAAAATAGGAGGCCTATTTAAAGCTCTGCCTTTTACTAAATCTTTGCTGAATATTGGAAGTCTAGCACCAACAGGCATACCATTCTTGACAGGCTTCTATTATGAAAAAAGGACAACGGAAGTAAGGCCAATCTTTCAAAAGTTCTTTACATTAAATAGTTGAAGTAATCTTAATCGAAATAACAAACACTAGCTCTGCTCCCATATGGGCTTGTTAAGGTAGCAGAGCCTGGTACAATTGCACAGTTCAATGGAGTGCAGCCTGGGTTAAGCTCCCATCTTGAATCCCACGGGGTTCACAGTTCTGGTGGCTGCTGCCTGTCACTGAAGCGGTCCTCGAAGTTGAAAGGCATTTCCAGGGAGCTAAGTGAAGAACTGGGCTTCAGCTTTGGACAGGCCTGGGTCTGATTTCCAGCTCTGTTGAGTACTGGCTGAGGGTTCCCCGGCAAGTAGTGTTTCCCAGCTCAAACACTGAGATAATGATACCAACCTCATGGGCTTGTCTTGATGTTAGAGAAGGTGCAAAAAGTACCAGCACTTTGCTTGCTGACCACAAACAGGGATGCAAATGGGGGTTTCTGTCATTCTATCAATTCTTTCCTGCCCTGGGGAAGATCTTTCCTGATCCCTCCTTCCTCTCCAAGGCTGTGCTGCTTTTACCTCCCCTCTTTGCTTACCTGTTCAATGTGGGGTTCCTGGTATTAGCCTGATAATCCCAGATTCTTTCATCCAGGATTTCTCTGGACACTTCATACCTCTTAGAGGTACCCTGATTTCCCAGAGTTCCCAGTTGTGTGTTCAGATTAGGTCCCTACAGTTACTCCCAGACACTTGGAAACTGGGAGTGAAGACTGGGCAGCGACCAGCCTTTCTTGGACCTGGTGCTAAGACTGAGTGAGGGAAGGCGAAGGAAGGAGCATGGATGGGGTGCTTCTCCTCCAGAGGACAGATCCACTGAGCAAAAATAGAGGGGTGTGGCTTTGGGGGAGTCACAGGGATCTGAGAGCATGGAGCTGGGGGGTGGAGATACTCTAGTTCCAGTATCAACTCCTACAACTTCTCTGTAAACTGGGGTGTTCTCCATCAGCCAATCAGAGACCTCTCCCTCTGCCCTTGCCAATGGCCCCTCCTCCTCCTTGTTCATGTCCCTCTTCTTAGAACTGCAAACAAATCATGACTGGGGTTGTTCCCTCTCTTCCCTTCCCCGCCTCCTTGTATAGGTGAAGGTCCACCTCAGAGAGCATCCAGTATAACCTCCCTCGTTCTGCAGGTGAGGAGACTGTGGAAAGGACCCTCATGGTACACAATGAGTCAGCACAGAACAAAGACTAGGCCCAGGAGTCCTGTTTCCAAGGCTGCTGCAGGGCACAGCGGCAGGGGGTCCCAGTGGCCCTTCTACTTACAGAGTGAACAGCCTTTGTGTCCACACGCGGGGCCCTGTCTCCTGGCCAGGCTGCTTCCCCATGAGTCAGAGGTGGGATGGACCTCCTTCAACACAGCAGACCTGGGGACCTTCCTGGCCTAGGTGGTCCCACACCCCTCACAAGGCACAAGGAAGAAGACAGACTGCTTAGGGGCAGAGCCAGCCCAGAGGTTCAGAAAACCCACACAGTTCCAGGCACTGATTCTGGGTGGCAGCTGGTGTGAGAGGCAGGTCCTCCCTAAATGCACTGCACTTTGCAGCTTCTCCTCCAGAGGACAGAGCCGCTGAGCAAAAATTATGTGAGATTGGTGTGATTATCCCCATTTTCCATGTGAGAAAACTGAGGTCCAGAGAGGTTAAGTCATTTCTCTAAAGGCATCCAGTGACGGAGCCTGGAGTTAAGCCTAGGTCTGTGGGGTTCCAGTGACTAGGCTCTTGCCACTGTCTCATAATCTCCCCTCTGTCTGCTCCCAAGGTTACCACCACGCCCTCCTCCAGGCAAAGACTGACAGTCTTCCCTGGCTGGTAAGTTCTGACGTGAGTGCCTTGGGCTCACTCAGTTCTAAGCTCACTTACCAGGTGTGGGACATGGGACTGTAGGCAAGTCATGTCCTCTCTATGAACCTCATTTTTCCCCCTCTGTAAAATGGGCATAATACTATCTACCTGGTAGGGTTGCTTTGTGGTTTAGCCATGCTGATGTATGTATGCTGCCTGCGCCAGGATAGATGGGCCTCTGTGTGTGTCAAAATGAATGGAACTGACCGCTCACAGCCTGTAACTTTAATTTAATATAAATTCATCATAACTCACAAAATGGGCAACATTTAAAATAAAAATACTGCTGGGGGTGGCCCAGATTCTGGTAGCTGAATGGTTGGGGTGAGACTGAGGATTCCTCCCGCCCAAGGGAGGCCCCAGTGGGCAGCAGTTGTGAGGTGGGAGCCCCCCCAAGTTCAGCTAGTCTGGCTCCTTTGAGATGGGGATGGTCAGAGACGCCAAGTTCAGAATCTAGGCCCCAGGACTAGAAAGAAAAGCTAAGGCCTGGGAGACATTTCAGCTTGGTCCTGCAGGCCCGCTCCTGGGGCTCCTGTCCTGGACAAGGACAAAGCCACGGAGCAGGACAACTAGAGGCTCTGCTGCTTCAAAGCCAAGGCCTAGAGGTGGATTCCAATGGCAAAAACTGAAGGTGGGCTTGTTCAACATCCATTCTAACTTTCTTCTATTGTGCCTTTTTGAACGGATGAGGCTGGAAAGAAGAAAAGTACATTTCCCAGACTCCCTTGCAGCCCAGGTTCTGGATCTGACTTGTTTCCCCACACAGAATCCCTCGTAGACATTTGTTTTTTGTTTTTTTGCGTTACGCGGGCCTCTCACTGTTGTGGCCTCTCCCGTTGTGGAGCACAGGCTCCAGACGCACAGGCTCAGCGGCCATGGCTCACAGGCCCAGCCGCTCCGCGGCACGTGGGATCTTCCCGAACCGGGGCACGAACCCGCATCCCCTGCATCGGCAGGCGGACTCCCAACCACTGCGCCACCAGGGAAGCCCCCCCTCGTAGACATTTGGATCTGGAAATTGAATTGAATGGGGGGAGGCAGCCCTCAGGACATCCACTGACTGGCGCGGACAGTAGCAGAGTCAGCGCAGTTCTGCAGCCAGCGGCTTCTTGATGCAGGGGCTTCCTGCAGATGGGAGCCGTGTTCCTGGTCTCAACAGACATGATGAATTTGGCGGCTGGGAGCTGTTCCTGGAAATTCAGCAGAGTCTGCTCCTCCAGCCCTTCCAATGATTTTACAAAGCCACTAGGGACCTGGTAATAAATCCTTGTCTAAAGATAAAACAGCTCTTGCTTTCTGCAACAGGATCCCAACTGAGACAGATGCCAAGATTGATGAGGGGGGCCCAGCTGACACCCACCCCAGTGCTCAGGGCCTGACTAAAATACTGCTCCCCACAGCCTCGCTACACCCTAGCCTGGTCACAGAGGCCTGGCTGGACCCTTGTTTGGAGCTGCTGGGGACCTCCACCATCCAGTGATGATTGTCCTACGTCCGGGTGTGCCATTATCTGGCCTTAAGACCTGTGGGCAGGAAGGTGGTGGCACAGTGACTGTAACGTGGGCTTAACTACTGACAGTCTTCCTTGGCTGGTAAGTTCTGACGTGAGTGCCTTGGGCTCACACGGCCTGTGCCTGTGGCTTCCACAGGCCACAACATCATTTCTACCCGCAGATAAGTGGGAAAATCATGAAGCTCTTGGTACAGGGATGGAAGGAGAAGGTGGTTCTCAGGCAACCCTGGGACTAGCTACCGCCTGTGTCCACTGTGGGCTGGGATTGAGGATAAAACGGCCCATCACTAGCTTGATCAGGGGCAAGTCTTAGGCCTGGAAGCATAAGAGGGTTCTGTGTCTCTTTCGGGCAGCCAACTGCTGGCAACCACTGACACATACTGAGCTTAGGGCATGTGGGCAGGAGGGAGACATAGGGACGCAGTCCTCTGCCCCTGAGAGGAGGGGCATGAGGGTTGGGCAGGGGCTGCCCTGAGGAGAAGCCGTGTCACACCCTTGGACCAAAGCTGCATCCCCAGTAAGGTCAGAGCTACAGAACATCAATGCTGGAAGAGCTTCGGAATCGTGGAGCACAACCTCCATTTTACAGGGAAATGAGGGTAAACAACAGGCCTGAGATATCAGGTTGGCCCGGCTGGGCTGGAGTCCCGGCCTCCGCTCTCCGGGGCAGGGCTCTCGCTGGTGGCCATGCTCAGGCCTGCGGTCTCCCTCCGCAGCACTAGATGCGGACCGTGTTGATCCGTAGCGGCTGCACGTTCTTGCCATTGGCGTGGCTCTGCCCGGGGCTGAAGTAGGAGCAGAGCTTGCCGGGGAACTTCTCGCGGAAGGTGTACAGCCAGGACATGTCATCGGCGTTATAGAAGATGAGCAGGCCTTGGTCGTAGTCCAGGAAGACGCCCACCTTGTCGAGCTTGTCGCGGACATTGAGCCGCGTCCAGGGCTCGGTGCAGGCGCTGTACTGGTTGCCGTCGTGCATGACGATGCAGTAGAAGCCGCGGCTAGGCTGGATCTGGATGCTGCCCTTACGGCTCGCGGCTTCGTGCGCCAGCCCGATCACCCACTGGGTCTTCTCCGCCACCACCACCTCCCAGTAGTGGACGCCGCCACTGAAGGCCTCAGAGCCCAGCACCGACACCTCCACGTCGAAGCGCTTCGGTGAGTCCTGCAGCGGCTGTGGGTGCAGGTTGCTGTAGGCCACGATGGTGCAGTCGTCGGACAGGATGAGGCGCTGGTGGGCGGTGCCCGGGTCCAGGGTCAGGGCGGCTGGCACTGCCGGGGATGGAGGAGGAGAAGATGAGTGGAGAGAAGGCGGCGGACCCACTCTATGGTTCCTCCCTGAGGACAGGTTCTGGTTGGCCCCCAGGAGGCTGTGTGATGCTGAACACAAGCCTGCCCTCCCTGGGCCTCAGCTTCCTCCTCTGTAAAATGGAAGGGTGACAGCTAAGGTCCTTTCAGATTTTAACCTGGCTGCAGGGGACAGGAGCTATGGCTGCTTGTTCACTGATGGTGTCCTGGGGCAAGGCACACAGTGGGCACTCCACAAAATTTGTTGAATAAATCTGAATGCGGTCCAGAATTGGGTAATTTCAGAGCTGGGAGGGAGCTTAAAGATTATTCGGGGGTTGGATAATCACCCTATGGGGTGCTTGGGAAATTTGTTGGGGTGTTTGGGTTGTCTCAGTAGGTGGGATCCAGGGATGCTAAATGCCCTGTATGAAATGCACAGGGCGGTCCCATGCCCCCACCGATGAGTTTCAGACGCTCCACCAGATATTCATGTGGATGAAAAATCTTCACAATGACCTGAAGCTACAGCTTAACTCCATTTTACATATAAACATGAAATAATTTTTGTACAGTTTTAATATATACTTAATGTTTTGCAATGCAATTACCATATAAAATGGGGGAAGACGGAATTTGTTTTGTCTGGAATGTCACTGAGAATTGTTCACTTTTTTGGAAAATACTTCTCGAAGAAGAACACCGTTGACCAATAAAACCTACCTATTTAAGACTGCATTTGAGGCAGAATGATATTTTAGCTATGGTGTGAGCACCTGACTCGTTCATTATGTTTTCTAGGGTGGTTGTGAGTGAGCATCTACATATTGACATATGCAATATTTTATTATAAATAATTTCCTTCTATTTTTCCTTTATATCAGAGAGTATATATACACATGTACATATATATGTATATGTGTATATATACTTGAAACTGTGAAAAGGTCATACTGTCTTTGAGACATTACAAATTATTTGTTATGAAAAGTAGATGAGTCTGAAAAAGTTGAAAACCACTGATTCTAGGCCAGCTCTCCCATTTGACAGATGGGGAAACTGAGACCCAGAGAGATGTGACTAGTCTCAGGTCACCAGGCAAACACTGGCAGAGCCAGGTCTAATCAAGACCATGCGCAATCCAGCCCCAGCCCTCTCTTCCGGCCTACCTCTCACTCAACACCCGCCACCCCACTCAGGCCCAAAGCCTTCGCCCAGACTGTTCCCTCCACCGCCTCATCTCTGCTTGTTGTAATCACACCCCATGAGGCTCAGTGCCAGGGCCCATCCTCAGGGAAGCCTTCCTGGTTGCCCAGCAGGTATGCTCACTCCTTACTCTGAAATTCCTTAACTTTGTTTGTGCCCCTCTCCTGATATGTGGGGTAGTCTTCTGTGCCCATATCTTACCCCCATGTACACCAGGAGAGCAAGGACTGTGTACTCTCCTACCAGGCCCTCCCTGGTGGGCCCAGTGCCCAGCACACAGCCTGGAGTGCGGAATGTTTCCAGAAAGGCTCACCGAATTAAACTGACCCCGCTTGTGTTGGTCTCCGGGCAGGCAGCACAGGCTGGGGCACCCGGTTCTGGGCCGGCCACACTGGCTTAGCAGGTCTGGCTCTCAAAGTCTCATGAACTCTTGTCAAGGACTGTTTACTCTTGCCTCCCTGAGGGAGCTGATGCTCAGCCAGAAGGAGGAACCTAGAATTGGCTCTCATTAGCCTGGATGAGCATTTCCAGGGCAGAGTAAGGCAGAGGGGAGAAAAGGAGAAGGAATCCTGTCACTAGTTCCTTGGAGCAAAGAAAGGACTCCTCCAGCTGGCTCTCTGGTGCTTTCCTTATCTGGCGGAGCGGAGGCATGACTGTGCGTGGCAGGAGCATCATCACCTCCTACTGGAGCCACCTCTGCTGGCTGCATATACACAGAGAAGTAAAATGCCTCAATGATGGCAATCATCTCTAACAGGGGGTGACAGCCCCTCCCTGAACTGTGCTCCTGTTCACAGCCCACTGACAAAACTGGCCATTGACTTGCAGCAAGCTCCTTCCATGAGCTCTGTCAGGGATAAATTTAGTCTTGAGTTTTACACTCTTCTTTCCTTCCATGAGCTCTGTCAGGAATAAATTTAGTCTTGAGTTTTACACTCTTCTTTCCTGTTCTTAGAAGTCAGAGGGCTGTATGGAAACAATTAGCCCTGTGACTAGAGGGGCCAATGGAAACACAATTTTCTATCCAGGGACATAGAAGAGGGGAGCCATGAGAAGGAGTTCATACACTGAGTCAGCGTATGAACGTTTCGCCCTGTCATCTGGTCACAGCGCAGCCTGTTGGACCAGAAGGCTCCTGTCATGTAGAATGTGGGTGTTCCCACAGTGGGATCCAGAGGTAGGAGGTGGAAGGGATGTAGGAAGTATGTGTGAGGGGGAGCTCGGGAGAGAAGAATCATCTAATCAGACACACATGGGGCCACTCCTACTGGCTGTGGAATGTGGGTCATACTCAGGTGTCTATGGCAGAGGGGCAAGAGGGACAGAGCAGGCACATTGCCAAGGTGTGGGCAGCTGTGGTTGAGTGCCTCACGGAAAACTGGGCCTTATGTCTCAGGTGCCCAGGATGATTTGAGGAGACCAACGACAGGCAGAAACCGAGGTTAGAAGGACCAGTGGGGAGACTAGCACGCAGGCAGGGGGGCTCAGCCCCATACTCTTAAGCCTAACTAGGGCAACGTGGGCCCTTCCAGTGCCACTGATGAGTGGGGAGGACACCCTAGGAGGCAGGCAAGTGGGCTTTCAGTGGTTCTGAGTTTGGGCCTGTAGGACGGAGGAAATCCTCACTGCACTGAGGGCTAACTCCTCGGCGTGGACCCACAGGCTTGAAGCCCAAGGGACTTACCGGAGATAGGACCTGCCACTCATTGGGTGGGCTTAGGGGCGGCGTCTGCCGTTCATTGGTCAGTTCTGGCAATAGAGGCAGGGCTGGAGGGGCGGGACCTGATCCACAGGGGGCAGGGCCCAACAGCCCATAGGGTGAGGCTAGGGGCAGGGCCTGGCATTCTTCTGAGGCAAAGGGTGTGGCTTGATGCTTAGGAGGCTTTTACACCCCAAAGGGTGGGCTGAGGTCCCCCTCCTCATAAACAGAGTTCCTGTCTTCGGGCCTCTCTCAAGTCCTCCCAGGGGCTAGGGCTGACAGGAGTAACAGCCTTTAGGCCAGAGAGGTACCCAGCTGGGGACATGGCAATACCTTTTCCCCCTCCGAGAAGTCAGTCCCTGTGCGGGGACTGGCAATCCCTCCACCCATCCTTTATTCTCAGGAGAGGTGACAGACTCGTCAGACAGACGCAAAACAAATCCCGTCCCCTGGGGTTCACAATTTTACAGGTCAGAGCTCTATTCTAGGTCCTGGGACACTTTTATAAAAACAGAAAGCAGGCACTGAGGCAGTCCGTCTGGTCTCCAGGTGTGTTCTCCATCCATTTAAGCCTCTCTGAGACCTCCAGGTCAAAAGGCAAGGAGCGTGGACTGCGGGGGGCCCAGGAACTGTCTCCTGGCCACCATCAGCCACATACCACAGTGGCCCAAGCAGCAGAGAAACCCCAAAGTCCAGCACCATCACTTGGCAGCGAGTGGCTTGTGCCTCTTTGTTCTCAAGGACAATCAGCTCTTTCCTCTGGCCAGGCCTTTAAGAAGTCTGGCCCCTCAGTCCTCCTGCCTTCTCAGGCCCTCAGCTGCACAGTACGGGCAATCGAAAAACATTTTCACACCTTCTAGCTCATGGGACCAGTACAGCAGCTCCAGGAGCACAAATTACTCTACCCATTTTTCACAAGAGGAAACTGAGGCTCCAGGGAGATTTCTCTGAGTTAAGTGGCTTGCTCAAGTTGCCACTTTGGGTGGAAGCAGAGCTGGAACTTGAGCTAATATCTTTCACACCATGTCCTTTCCTTTATGTGGCCCTAGAAAGCCTGTTCAGCAAGACTGAGGAACCATCTGATGATTCATGATAATCATAAGAAACAGGTATCAAGCATTTACTAAGTTCCAGGATTATTATCACAAATAAATAACCTTATTTAATTCTCCTACCTACCCTGGGAGACAAATCACACCTTCCGCATCCCTGTTTTACAGATGAGGAAACAGGCTCAGAGAAGGCAGACGTCTGCCCTGCGTCACACAGCTAGGCAGTGAACATGCTGGAACCCAAAATGATTGGATTCAGATAAGCAGGAGGAGGAGAGAGCAGCCCAGGAGAGGGAGGTGGCCGAAGCAAAGGAAGTAGTGTCTGGTGTCCTCTGGACAATGGCCACCTGGCCTGGGTGGGGAGGAAGTTTGTGCCTGGGAGCTGGGGCAATCAGGCCAGGCAGTTAGAGGAGAGTTTCCAATGTCAGCTGAGAGGTGGGGCAGGGGTGTGGGTGGTGGTGGAGAGTGGAGGTTCCAGATCACGGGAGTGACAGGTGCTCTATGGAGTTCTCAGGTGACCCAATAGGAAGGCTGAACTGGAAGAGGGGTAGGCAGGAAGCTGCTAGAATCCAGGGCTAGGTCCCTGGGGGCACCTGCCCCTCCCAACTGGACAAAAAGAACCTTGGTTTTGGTAGGGGAACCAGAGTGACTTCACAGGTCCTACAGACAAAGGAAGGGGCCCAGCTAACCAGGTCACTGTTCTCTGAACCCCCAGGGGCCGCTGTCCTTGGCAGGATGTTCAGGGCACACCCTACTGCTCCCTCAGCCCCTCTCCTACAGGCAGCTTTCCCTGGGGCAGCGGTTCTTAACTGGGGCTGATTTGCCCCATAGGGGACACTGGGCGATGTCTGGAGACGAATTTGGTTGTCACAGCTGGAGGGGGTGTGCGGCATCTAGTTGGGTAGAGACCAGGGATGCTGTTAAACGTCCTACCATGCACGGGACAGCCCCCAAGACAAGGAATTATCCAGCCCCAAATGTCAATAGTGCGGAGGCTGAGAAACCCTGCCCTGGGGCAATCAGCAAATTCCCACGTCCATTTGTTCACTTGTGAGGGAGTCAAGGAGGGAACACTAGCACCCTTATAATACAGAGGAGGAAACTGAGGTTCAGAGGGAGGAAGCGACTTGTCCGAGGATGTGCAGCAAGTTCCTTCATTCAACAAATAATTATTGAGCACATACTTAATGCCAGGCCCTATTCTATTGGGTTGGCCAAAAAGTTCATTCGGATTTTTCCATATGTAAAGGACAAACCTGAACGAACTTTTTGGCCAACGCAATAGTAACAGAACTGAGAGCAGGACTCATTCATTTCTTTATTCATTCATCCACAAACATTTACTGTGCTGGCTGCTGGGGATGCACAGTGATGAATCAGACTCAGCCCCTGACCCCTCAGAGCTCAAGGTCTAGTAAGAGAGACAGTCATGCAGACATTAACAAAACAGTGAGACCAGGAAAGCCCAGGGCTACCTGGAGAAATCCAGGAAGGCTTCCCAGAGGAGGTGTTTATAAACTAAGATGTGAAGGAGAGTAGCAGTTAGTCATCAAAGATTAAGGTTTGTGTCAAGTGTTCTTGGCAAAGGGAATAGCATGTGCAAAAGTGTGGAGGAGAGGGAATATGGCTCATGTAAAACCTGAAGATGGTTCAGTGTGGCTGATTGTGATACAGAGGGGAGAATGAGAGAATGGCTGGGCCCAGATCTCATAGGGCCTTGACTGTCAGGCTGAGGTGCCTGGGTTGCCTCTCTGAGCTGTGGCAGCTGAGATAAATAGAGCTCCTGAGACCATCTGCCTGAGGGGCTTCCCTGGGTCAGGGGAGGGGACAGGACCCTTGGAGGGGCTTCTTGCCTCCTTCAGTTATGCTGCTTCACCCATGTGTGGCCCTCACCCTGCTGGGTCCCAGTGTGCAGGTCTCTCCAAGGCTGGGAGCACACAGAGAGCCACAACCCCAGGAGGAGAGCCAAGAGCCCCACCCAGTCGGCTGGAAAGTGGGCCCTTCGCCCAACTACTGCCCCCTTTGTCAATGAGGGCACAGAGCCAGATTTAAGGGTTCTAGGAGATGTCCCTTCACTTTTGTGAAATTGGTCATGATGCATCCATCCAATGAGGTCTTCAGTCACCAGGAGGGGAGCCCCATCCCTGTTCAGCATTCACACCCTCAGTGATTGTCCTCAGTCCTTCTCCATCTGTACCTGAAGGCCAATCGTGAACATCCTGGGATCATTCATGCCCCTGCCCTCCCCACCGCCTTTGCCTACACAGTTCCCAATGCCGGGGATTGTCCGAGGCACCTCCAGGCCCCACCCTTTCCTGAGTGGGAAAGCTCTCAGTTTTCAGTGCTCAGTTCAAACATCATCTACTCAGTGTTCCCCTGGCTCCTCCCTCGCCCCATCCAGAGCCTCCTGTTGTCCCTCTGGGCTCCCATGACCCCATGTAAGTCCCTCATCATGGTCCTGGTCCCACCGGACTATCAGGGTCTGTTGTCCCATCTGTCTCCCCTGATTCTGAAAGTGACTCGAAGGACTTTCAGTGTTTGTAGATCAAAAGAATGAATCCAGATAGGTGGAAAGAGCACTGATTGCTGTGTGACCTTGGGAAATCAGTGAGCCTCTCTGAGCCTCAGTCTCCCCAGCAGTCTTCCTGGGTTGGTAGTATGAGGCCAGAGAATGCCTGGTTAGTTTAGTAGGTAAGGGCACAGGCTCTGGCATCTGACGTGTCTGGGTTTAAATCCTGGCTATACCATTTACAGGTTGTGACCACGACAAGTTCTTAACAGCCCTGTGCCTCAGTTTCCTCATCGAAAAAATGATAATAACAGTGTCTTCCTCTTAGGGAGAAGTCTCCTCTATATCCTTGTCTCACCTCTAAGGGACATTGTGCCTGACTCAGGAACACAGAAGGTTCCCTGCTGCCAATAGGTTCCACTCTGATGCCCTTGCGGGTTGTGTGATTTCGGGAAGGTGTTGACCTCCCAGTCCCAGGGTCTACTAACTCTACTAGAAACCCATTTCAGACTTTCTCCTCTCTCGGCAGATTTCCCATGACCTCCTCTAGCCCATCCTCATCTCAGCGGACGACCTTGCTTCCTGCCTTACTGGGAGAGGTGAAGAGAATTCCCGGGAGCCCCCACCACTGCCCGCTCTGCCTCGGGGCCCATTCATTCTACCTTCTCCTGGCTCCCAGCAAAGGCAGAGGCAGGTCCCACTCGTGGCGGTCACCCCGGCACCTCTCCCTCCTTCACCCTCAATTCTGCCTTCTGCTACTGGATCTTTTCCATGCCCCCCACCCCTCCCATATATGCTGCCATTTCTTCTACCTTAAACAAATAGCCACGGCCACATTCTCTCTCCTTCCCTTAAATAAAACTCATTGAAAGCACTGTCTCCACTTCCTCTCTCATTTTCTCTTGGACGGTCTCCAGTCAGGCTTTTGCCTCTATTGCTCCACCAAAGCAGCTCTTGTCAAGGTCACCAAGACCCGGAGAACAGTCAGTTCTGATCCTCCCACACTTGGGGTCACAGCTTTGCCACCACTATCCACTCTCTCCTCCTTGAAACACTTTCTCCACTTGGCTTCCAGGACAGACGCAGGTCTTCTTCCTATTCTCTGGCTGTTCCTTCTCGGTCTCCTTGGCTGGGTCCCCCTCCTGTCCTTGACTTCTAGGAGCGGCCTAGGGCTCCATGTGTTAGAGTGGCCCTCTCTCTTTTCTCTCTACCCCCACTTCCCAGGTGACCTCATCCTGGCTCATTCAATACGGTCCACATGTAGACAACGCCAGCCCTGACCCTCCTCCCGTACTGCAGACGTGTCATTCCCACTACCTTCTCCATGTCTGCACTGAGACTTCTAACTGGCATCGCGAACCTCACATGATTACAACTTCATCTTCCCAGTCACCTCAGCCAAAATCGTTGTAGTCTTCCTTGTCATTTTTTTCCTCACACCCGAGATCCAATCCATTAGCAAATCCTGTTGGCTTTCTGTTCAAAATAGATCCTAAATCCAATCACTTCTCACCACCTCCACTGCCACCACCCTGCTCCAGGCCACCATCATCTCTCACTTGCATTGTTGCAGTGGTCTCCTAACCTCTACCCTTTACCCCCTGCAGTCTATTCTCAACCCAGCACCCAGAGGGATACTTTAAAAATTTAAGCCGGCTTATGTCACTTCACTGCCCCAAACCTTCCAATGGCTCCCATCTCACTCAGCATAAAATTTAAAGTTTTCATACGGGCCTCCAGGCTCTCATGGTCTGGCTACTGCTACTGACCTGACCTCCTCACCTCCACCCTCCCTCTCACTCATTCCACTCCAGCCACGCGAGTCTCCTTACTGTCCCTTGAACATGCCAGGCTTGCTCCTGCCTCAGGGCCTTTGCACTTCCTATTCCCACTGCCAGGAACACTCTTTCCTCAGATACCTACATGGCTCATTCTTCTCTTTCCTCCCTCAGGTCTTTACTCTACTGCTTCCTACTCAGGGAGGTCTTCTAACTGGATCCCCTACTAAACGTTCAATCCTACCTCAACATCCCTTAGCCCCTTTCCTTATCTTTTATCATTATCTAAAAAACTATGTATTTTACTTATTTAATTTTGTTTTCTTTCTCTCTCACACCCTAGGATGTAAGTAAGATGTACGAGGGTAGGGATTGTTGCCTGTTTTGCTCACTGCTATATCTCTAGTTCCTAGAATAGTGCCTGGTGTGAGGTAGGTGCTTGATATATCCTGTACTCATAGAGTGAATGAGTGAACCACCCAGGGCCTCAGTCTCTTCATCTAGAGAATGGGTACACTAGTAGAACCTACCTACTCTTGTGCTGGTGCCCAGCACAGGCCCTGGAACATAGTAGGTGCTCAGCAAGGCACTCTTCTCATCCCTCTGCCCTGCCCCCATGTCATGTGTAGAGCAAGGGGTGGGCTGGGCCGGGCCCCATCTAGCTCCAACCCATGATAATCCTTGCCTCTTCCTGAGCCCTACTGGAGAGTGGCAGGAAGGGCCTTACCTGGGTGGATGTCCTGGAACAGGGACTTCCAGATGGTGTACTGCAGGGGACCTGTGTACTTGCAGGTTGGGAAGTCTTCGTAGGTCAGATTGGTCTCATGGATTTTCCCTTTGAGCCTGGAAGGAGAGCAAGAGAGCAGGCCACATTGGGGGCTGGATTCCTGTCCCAGCACCTCAGGGAAGCTGGCATAGGGCGAGGTCATGTGTGGGAAGTCTGCTGGACCCAAGCACCGACTCAAGTGCCTGCTTGTGCCACTTCCTAATTCTCTAGCTATTGCCCTCAGTTTCCTCATCTTTAAAATGGGTACTATGATAACACCTGCTTCCTAGGCTTGTGAGGATTACATGGCAAAATGTATGTAAAATGCTTAGCACGGTACTTGGCTCAAGGTCAACACTGAATACATGATGTTAGCTATCAGTATTGGTCATTAATGAACCAATAATTAAGTGTTATTATTATTAAAGGCAGCTATGGAACTAGAGAGACCTGGGCTTGAATCCTGGCTCCCCCACATACTAGACGAAGGGTCTTGGCCAATTGCTGTAGCTTCTTTGTGTCTCAGTTTCTACATGTGTGAAATGGGGATGGCAGTGGTAACTACCTCCAAGGGGCTATTAGGATTATAATAATTTACATAGTATTATTTATTATATATAGTATTAATGTTATTATAAATAATAGATAATGTAAAACACATATTTGTAATATAATATAAAGCACAAAAAACAAGTAATATCCTATATGATTATAAGTATTATATATAAAATAATATGAATACATAAAGCTTTTACCCTAGGCTCTGGCACATAGCAGATGTCCTGTGTATTTGATGGAGATTTGAATGAATGAATTCTCTGCTACACCCCATCTGCCTCCAATCCCAGCATCCCACAAGGGCCAGGGAGGGGATACCCCCTGGAGAAGACCCACAGCAGGCGGGTACTTACCGCTCAGACAGCGAGGCCACCCCGGCCAGGAAGGTGTGCCGGTCAGTTTCAGCCAGCCGCTCCTGCAGGATCTGGGCCCCCTCCTGCACCTTGCGCAGCTGCTGGCTGTAGCGCTGGACTTTCTGCTCGATGTCAGTCAGCGTGCGGGCCGTGTCTGCCTCTAGCTCCTCCAGCATGGCCTTCTGCCGTTCCCGCAGCAGCCGGTGCAGCCGCTCAAAGACCTCCCCAATGGTGGTCCGCAGGCTTTTGGTGGAAGACTGTGGAGACAGTCATCCGGGGTCAGTCAGGGAGAGTGGATGGGGTGATCCCTGGGTGAGAGGAGGAAACCGAGCGTCTTGGCACACACAGAGGAAAGGTGGGAAAGGCATGTCGGTGAGGGGATGGCACATGCAAAAGCATGGTGGCAGGAGAGAACTGGCATAGCAGGGACAGCAGATAATTGTTCTCCGTTAGGAAACTAATGAAATGGTCCAGGTGAGACAATGAGGCTTGAACTAGGGGAGCAGCAGATGGACACGGCTTGAAAGACATTTGTAGGAGAGCCTCTTTGACCCTGGTGACCAACTGGCTGGCTGTAGGGGCACGGGAGAGACAGGTGTAAGGATGATGTCCGGATTTCTGGCTTGGGGTCGGAGGGATGGGGAAGCTGGCAGGAGACGTGGGGGGCAGGGAGAGGATGCTGAGCTCAGTCTGGAAGACGGTGACATTTTTATTTATTTGGCTGCGCCACATGGCTTGTGGGATCTTAGTTCCCCAACCAGGGATCGAACTTGGGCCCACGGCAGTGAAAGCACAGAGTCCTAACCACTGGACTGCCAGGCAGTTCCCTTAAATTTTTATTTTTAAAAAAATCACTCACGGGGCCCAAGCAAAGATGACAAGATCACAGATGTTAAAGAGCTTTATAAATGGCAACGTGCTGGGCAAAGCTTGGTGGTCACTCGCCCTGTCCCGCCACCCCGAGACCCTCTGGGAACAAGAGCTGGCGGGGTTAAAGCCATCGTCACAGGAGACAAGCATGGACTTTTGTGTTTCTCTCTGCCCCCAAGGGCACTGCCAGGCCCAGGAGGGGTTGAGTGGTAAAGGGCACAGCTTTGGTGCCCAATGGCTCTGGGTCTCCAGCTGTGGCAACCTTAGTTGCCTGATATCTCTGAACCTTAGTTTTCTTATCTGGGAAAAGGGTACACAACGACATTGCAGGGCTGTGGTAAGTGAGGGAACATTCACAAAGTGCATGGTATTGTTTGAGGTGCAGACCCAGAGGCTGGTTATTAAAACACTGGAACAGGACATCCTAGAAGTCTTCGTGGAGAGATGACTTCTGAGCTGGGGCCTGAACGACGGGCAGGATGTCAGCTGGGCGGTGCGGGCAGCGGGCCGAGGGAACAGCACGAGGCAGGATGACACTGGGTACACAAGTGCAGCTCGGCTGCAGCAGCAGCGTGTGGGGCCTGCCTCTGCAATTTGACTTTGTGGGATCCTGGCTGGGAGTTCACGGAGTCCGAGACCCTGCTGTGTTCAGTGCCCAGGGCTCTGTGGGAGGCTCCACAAAGGCTCAATTAGGGCCTGTTCCCTCCCAGTCGTCGCGGCTGCAGGCTGCCTGCGGCAGGAAGAGCTGCTGGCAGTGGGCCAGCCTCCCTGCGCATGCCCACCCAGTATGCAGGGCAGACAAAGGGGGTGGCGGAGAGGCTGGGGATAAAGGGCCAGGCTGCCTGTGGCCTCCCGGAGCCCCCTCACCCAGGGAGGGCCAAGGCTCCGGCAGCGGCAGGTCACGGTGGGGAAGCTGGGGCCTGCCCTCCCTGCACCGCCCACCACTGCCCTCCAAAGAGCCCCAGATCTCATGGCCACCGCTTCCGGCTGCTCTTCGGCCAATCTGCAGCAGCGTTTGGCCCAAGGGCCACCCTCTACTAATAGAAACTTCTGGTTTGCCTCCCACCTCTGTGGCTGCTCCCTCCCTGCCACCCCTGTTCCTGAGGACTCGTCCAGGCTGGCTCCCTTTTTCACACCCCACAACTCACACTGCTTCGAGGATGGCTTCCAAGTCCATTTCGAAGGTCTTACATGTCTCCTGAGCGCCACATTCATCTCTCCACCTGCCTCCTCCATGCATGCCCCTGGGTCCCACCAACTCACTGATTCCACGTGTCAACTCCACATCTTTGCCAACAAACTTGCTGCCAGAGTGATCCTTCTAACGTGCAAACTGGGTCACAGCCGACCTCGTCTTTAGGAACCCTTCTTGGCTCCTTGATGACTAGTATAGTGCTAAATTTCTTAGCCTGGAATTCAAAGTCCTTAATCTGATCCCTGCTTACCTCTCTAGTGCTGCTGCATCATAATTCCACCTGCCTAGAGTGGACCCCTCCGCCAGCAAATGCTTTATTCAACTGACAAACTCCTACTCATCCTGCAAGACTCAGATCAAAAGCCACCTTCTCTGTGATACCTTCCTTAACTTTTCCAGGCAGTTAAATAGCTAAATGTTCCCAGAGCATTTTGTAAATATTCTGAATATACTGCCCCACATTTTATGTGGCTTCCCAGTTAGTGGATGAACCCCTCCCGGTAGGAATGACATCTTCCTTAGCCCTGCATCCCAGAGCCTGGCACAAGGCTGATGGTCAGGACCTGCTTGAGAGGTAAAGGAGGGAGGGGTCTTGCCCAAGATTGCTCCGTAGAGGTGGGTGCAGACTCCATCTTCTCTCTCAGGTAGGGGTCCAGTGTGCCCAGGACAAGAGGAGAGAAAGAGGCTGGGAGAGGGCAGCTCAGAAGTGGAACATCAGCCACCCCAGGAGCCCGAAATATGTCCGTGATGGGTTCTCCAGGCCTACCCGGCTTGCAGCCCACAAAGCCAGAGATCTCGCTGAGGACATTCCAGCATGAGGCTGGAATATGCACTAGGCTCAGACAGAACTGGACAGTAAGGTCTCAATTAGCTACTTATTAGCTGTGGGGCCTTAGGCCTGTCCCTCAACCTCTCTGGGCCTCAGTTTCCTTGGCAATAAAATGGAGACAACAGCTATTCCTACCTCAAAAGGTGTATCTTTTCCCCCCACTCATTTGTTCCACAACTATTTACTGTGTGCTAGACACCGTGTAGGTTCTGGGGAAATCCTGCAGTCATGGAGGGGACATTCTGTGCGGTTCGGCGAGACAATGAATGGGGAACACAGTTCCCAGCACAGAGAAAGGTTCAGCTAAACCGGTGTGTCCCATTTACTCTAGTTTTTTCTAGGGCAGAGCCAGCCCTGCCCCACTCCCAATCCCTTCAGTCACAACTGGGAGAGCAGCTCCCACCCTGACCCACCACATCCCTGGGAACACACTGGGGCCTGGAAGAGCTGGGGCCATTTCAGAACAACACCCTGCCAAGAATGCGTCACTCGGTCAGGGCCGACCAAGGAAAACATTGGGCTGGGGGAGGGAGATCAGACGGGCCCTCAGGCCGGGCCATTGGAGGGGCAGGCGCCACAGGAAAGCCGAGTCAGGCACCAGGTGAAATATGACCTCCAAAGCATCCATAGGCATTTCTTGTATAAACATCCCAGTCCAGACAGGAAGCAGGGCTGGGGGAACTGGAGGGGAAGGTGGCCCCAGAGGACACCCCAGAGGTAGACAGATGGACAGGAAGGCAGGGGAGGAAAAGGTCAGTGGAGAAAAACAATGCGGGTGGGGAGTGGAGAGAAGAACAGAATGCTGGGGAGAAGAAACAGACCATAATATTCCCCTCTCATCCAGACAGAGGCTTCCATTTGCTTCTCTTCACCTGAGAGGTGTGGGATCACCAGGCAGGTGGGGAAAATGAGGCTGTGAGAAGCAAAGAGGCCAGAGTCCTGTGACTGCTTCCCATCTGATGCCCACTGAGGGTCCTGCCTGGAGGCACTCCAGAGTGTTCTCTGAAGAAATGTTCGTCATGACCTCCCTAAGACCCCACAGTGGGTTGGTGGCCAAGGTGGGGCACAGGTCTGGATCTCCAATGGCCTCTCCAGGCCTCAGGGGGACCTCTGGAGGCCCAGAGCATTCCAAAGGCTTTGCTTCAGCTGCTCCTAGCAGTGGCACCCCTGCAAATGGAGTGGAGCCACACTGAAATCACCCAAGAGCTTAGCAGTCAGGGCTGGGTCCCCAGTGCTTGGTTCCAGAAGGACAGCAGAAATCAGAGCAAGCCTTGCCCAGTTAGGGGTATCTGTGGGGGACTTGGAGGGAGCCCCTTGGAAGTGTGCTAGGATCCAGAACATCACAGCTGGAAGGAGCCTGGCAGAGTCCCTACAGCACGGATGGGAAGACTAGGGGCCCAGATAAGTATGCAGTTTACCCAAAGTCACACAGCACGGTAGTGGCTGGATCAGAACCCAGGGCCTTCCTCTCAGGTCAAGAAAAAAGGCTTTTCTTTTCAAACCACTGTGGCCAGAGCCTGCAGGGTTTGACGCTACTTTTCAGAGTCTATATCTCCAGTCAGAGTTGAAGAGGGGAGCTGATACCAGGGCTGAGCCACAAATCATCAGTAGGGCTTCGAAGGAACATTCTCAGGATTGGTTCCTTGGGCAATGGGTGTGTTTAGCAACGGGAGAAAAAAAAAAAAAAGAGAGACTAGGTACATTCTTCCAGCCCCGCAGGACGCCAGGGTTTTCCAAAGAGTCCCTGGTCCCACCTCAACTTTCACCCAAAGCAGGAAGGGAGAAAGGATCCCACTTGCCCTCAGTCATCTTGGAGTGGGTCGCCGCCCCATTTACCTTCAGGGAAGCCCCAGCCTCCGCCCCACCCCCATGCCCCGGCCTAACACCTGGAGTTTGGACCCTCGAAGCCCCGCCCCCACAGCAGGCCCAAAGCCCCGCCCCTCAACTTCCCAACTGGCCCTGCCCCCACGAAGCCCCGCCCCCACCACAGCCAGCCCCGCCCCCACGTCCAGGCCGGGCTCACCTTGGTCTCCGCCAGCTGTCTCTTGAGCAGCTGCAGCGCCTCCGTGTGCTCCCGCTCACTGTCCTGAAGGGCCTGAAGCTGCTCCTTCAGCTCCCTCTGGAACACAGACAAGATCGGGATGGGGGCGCGGGTCAGATCCGGCCCGGGTATTCCGTGGTGATGCAGAGCCCAGGCCTGTCCACTGCGGGCACTGGAAGCTATCCTGGCCCCGTCTGTCTCCTGCCCCAGCACCCGCCTCCCCTCACAGTTTAACAACCACCACGTTCCGCAGAGTCTGTCTCCTAACTATCTCCAGAGTCTGTTCCCATCTTCCATCTGGAGTTTTGCAACAGCCTCCTCTCTGGCCATCCTAGGGGCTCTGGTCTCCCTGTTTCCAATCTACCTCCACATACTTTCTGACCCACCCTGATTTGCTGGCCAAGACTCCTTGCTTAGAATCCTCTGGCAGGAACCAAGGCTGTACTGCTGTCCAGGGCTATGACTGACTGCCAACATCCCCTGAGCGCTTCCGGTGGGCTAGGCACTGTTCTTAGACCTTGGCTTGTCATTTAATCCTCTCAATAACCCTGAGGTAGGCACTATTATCAGCCCCCTTTTCCGATGGAGACACTGGTACAGAGAGGTCGAGAAACTGGCCCCGAGGCATACAGCTAAGCATGCAGGGGTAGTGCCAGAAATGGAACTCAGGAAGTCTGGTTCTGGAAACCATGATCGTGACACCAGGTGACATGTTTTCTATAGTGATGACACCCATGATGAACAACAATAAAAATCCATGATAGACAACAGGTCAAATTTTTAAATAAGGACAGGATCGGTATTACTCATTTTTCCTTTGCATCTGGTTCCTATATGGCTCAGCATGACACTGCTAGTCGTCTTTATTTAAAAATTTGATATTTTGTTCATCATGGGGGTTTTGGCATTAATTTTGATTTTTAAAAATTGCATTAGATATTATCTTGATTACTGAGTTTTGGGGCGCCTGCTTCAACTTTGCACCTGAAGCAAGTGCCTCAGTCCCCTGTCCCTAGTCCCACCTCTGTCTTCACCATCCTTCCGCCATCACTCCCAACCAGCCAAAGCCGTCTTCTTCCTGTGCCTCATGCTGGGCTTGTTTCAGCCTTATGACTTTGCACTTGCTGCTTCCTCTGCCTGGTGCACTTCACTCTCAGATTTTCTCCCTGTGATTCCTTTGTATCATTAACGTATCAACTCAGATGCTGCCTCCTCGGAGAGGTCTTGCCTGACCAGCCCATGCACAGCAGCATCCCTTCCACCCTCCTGTTTAGTGGTCTCCATAGCACCTCCTGCTGTCCATGATCTTGCATATTTATTTGACATTGTGTTTACTGTTCATCTCCTCCATTGGCATGTGAGTTTTACGAGGGCAAGAATCTTGTCTGGCTTGTCCACTGTTCCATCCCCAATGCTTAGAATAGTGTCCAGCACACAGTAGGGTCTCAATAAGTATTTGCCAAATGAATGAATGGGGTATGGAGGCTGGTGGCCCCCAGTACTTCTGGACTTTCAGCCCATTGTATCACAGCTCGTTGTTCTTCTGGCTGTCCATTATCCATCCCCATGCAGGGCAGGTCCTCCCTACCGTTTTCTCTCTATATCCCCCGTACCCATCAATGGCCTGGCACTGAGGTGGGGCTCAAGGGAGTTTGCTTTGGGAGTGAATTTCCAAGGGAAGAGCCTCTGAGCAGGGCCCGGGCTCCCTAGTCAGCCTGGGCTGTGAGTGATGCCAGGGAGTTGACTTCCCTGTTCACACTCACCTCCTGCCCACTCATCCCGTCAGAGCAGGGAGGGCCCTCAGAAAACATCTAGTCCAACTAATTCTACAGACTAAATAGCAGCGTGAGAAAATGGTCATGATGACACACTAAGGGAAGCATGTAGAAAACAAAATGATCTGTGCTTACTATCCCTTATTCACTCAACAAGTATTTACTGAGCAATTATGAGGTACCAGGCACTGTTGAGGCACTCGGGACACAGCAGAGAACCAGACAGATGCAGTCCCTACTAACAGGGATCTTCCAGTCTAGTGGGGAAGACAGATAATAACAAGGAAAATAATAAAAGAATCAGAGAGCTACCCATTATGGTCTATGCTCTAGAGAAAATAAAGCCGAATGGGATGGGTGGTGAATTTAGGTAGTGTGTCAGGGAAGGCTTCTCTGTGGAGGTCACACCTGAGATGACTGCTGAAGGATGAAGAGGAGGCAGCCTTGAAAATACGAGTTAGATAGAAAAATTGGAATAGCTGGCTTTGTGGGAGTAGAGAGCTTACACAGACATAATGACTGGAACTCTGGTAGCCATCTCAGGCTGTAAGGCAGCCAGAAAGATGGATGTGACAGGCTGAAACCAGAGAAATAGAAGGAAGATGCAGCCTGGGTCCCTGATGGGGTAGCCACACCATCACTGCACTCAGTGATACGCTAGGAAGCTTGCCCTCTGGAAAAAAAGAAAAACAGCCCCAATTTATAGTGTTGGCCAATTTCCTTGGTGTAAAGGCTCCCTCCCAAAGCCAATTTGAAGCTCTCCCTGTGAGGTCACCGGATGCAGAGCTGGGAAGAGATTTGCACAACTAGTTCTCAGGAACTGGGACAAGCTGGCTCTGGCACACCACTGCCTGGGGTCCTGTCCTATAGACCTGTTTTACGTGGGAGAGAAATACACCCCTATCTAATTTCAGCTACTCTGGGCAGCTCTCTATTACTAACAGCTGGAAGTCATTCCTAATAGATTCGTGTGCATCAGAGCCACTGGAACAGGGAACAGACGGATCGTGTTCACCTAAGAGTACTCCTCTCTGACTGCCTGGGGTCTGTCCAGCTTGGGACATAGTCTGCTAGAGACACAGATTTTGAGGAGATGAACCAAATGCTACAACCCTTCCCCTTGGTGGTCCTTATAGACCCAGCCACCCAGGCAGCTCTTCAGAGTCTCTGAGAAAACTGCCCTGGAGGCCACGTTCCTCATATCACTCAGGGCACCCCAGGGACACGGTCAAATTCCTCCCTGCTTTCAAGGCCAGGGAACAACGGGATCCCGGGAGTAATGGAACACTCATTCGTCCATTCCACAAACATGTGCTGAATGAGGCCTCCTTGGGCCCCACATGCTGCTGTGTCAGCGACAGGGAGAAGGATGGGGTATGAGTCTCAACCCATGATGCCTCAGGAGGTGTGCAGATGGGCTGGGGGGAGACAGGGACATAGACACTCAATCACAGTGGATGCTGGAACAGTGGTACAGGACCCCAAAACTGCCCCTCCTCCACATTCCCCATCACAGTGAAGGGCACCCCCCACCCCCGCTGCCATCCAAGCCAGAAATCTGGGGGTCACCCTTGACATGGCCCACGCCCCCAATCTAATCAGTCATCAAGCTTGCCCTGGAATTTGTTCTCTCCTCTCTATACCCACCACCCTGGTTCAGTTTTCATCACTTCTTTTCTGGACTGTGGCCCCAGGCTCCTCCCTGCCCCACAGAGCAGCTGGGGTAATCGTTTGACAGGACAGATGTGTCCCTGCCGCTCCTCCCCGGGCCACTGCAGGATTTCTACATTGTCTGGGAAGAAGGGCACGAAGCCTGAGTGTGGCATTCAAGGCCCTTCACTACTGGCCCCAAATTTCTTCTCCAGCCTTTTCTTTTCATCCAGACCTGTACTGTTCAATACAGTAGCCACTAGCCACACGCGGCTATTGAAATTCAAATGAATTAAAATGAAATACAATTGAAATTCAGTTCCTCGGTTATACCAGTTGCACCAGGTTGCACATTTCAAGTGCTCAATAGCTCCAGGTGACCAGTGGCTACGGTATCAGCACAGATGCAGAACACTTCCATTATCCCAGAAAGTTCTACTGGACAGCGCAGCTCTAGACGCACTAAACAACTTGCAGTGCTCTCTGCCAGGCCTTTGCACATGCTGTTCCCTCTGTCTGGAATGCTCACCCACATGGTTTTCTCCACTTGTCAGGCTCATGCTCATCTCGTAAGATCTAGATCAGACATCACCTCCACTGAGAAGCCATACCCCAAACTCCATTCTGTCCCCAGACAATCCTCTGTGTACAGAGCCTTCCCTCATACTATCTGGCACACACTGTATTTTAACAGCAAGGTGACCTGTCAGTTTTCTCCATGAGATATGGGCTCTTAGGCCAGGGACTGTGTCAGATAGATTTTCACACTATCAGTACCTAGGACAGGGCCAGGCACAGAGTTTACGGAATGAATCTGCCCCCAGAAGAGTCTGGGCTGGGTCAGAGCTCACTTCCAAAAGGGTAGGAGGAGATCCCAGGGAGGCAGCTCTCCTCGGGTGGGCTACTGAGCCTGAGGGAACAGCTAACTTAGGAAAAACAAAACCTAGAACCCACAGAGCAAGACTAGGAGGCAGCCTGCACTTTGTCACCCCCTCTGCCTTCCCTCCTTCCAGGCCTGGGACCAGACCTGATTCCCTGGGTTAGGAGACTGGCTTTGCCACCCACTAGCTGTGTGACGTTGGGCAGGTACCCTAACCTCTCTGTGCCCCAGTCCCTCGTCTGTGAAATGGGGATAACAACACCTCCTAGGGTTGGGAGGGTGAAATGAGATAACAGTAAGAAGTGTTTAACCACAGTGGAGAGCCTGGCCACACTGGCTGCTCGGGAGACAGAGAGGTCACCATGTCCCACATGAGGCTCCTGGGTCACTTCTCCACGTCCCCACCGTTCACTATGTCCTGGCCCCTTCTTTCCTCCTCAGATGGCCAGAGCAGGAAGGAGCCCCAGGGACCATCTGGTCCAACAATCTGGATTTCTAGAACAAGAAACTGAGGTCCAAGAAAAGTGACTGAGTGGCCCATGGCCACACAGCTTTACAGAGAACCAACTGGAAAATTTCCTCCCAGCAAAGATCAGACAGGAAACAGGAAGCTGTTGATAAACTCCTAAGCAATAGAGCTAACTGTGAGGAAGGACACTGGCCATGCCGGAGGCTCAGAACCATGTCTGGAGGTGGTATGGTTTGGGTTTGAACTTCACAGGCATCATGTCACTTAATTCTCACAACAGCCTCATGAGGTTAGTGCCTTTATCACCTCAGTCTCACAGAGAGGGAAATGGAGGCTCAGAGAGGTCAGGCAGGTTGCCTAAGGTCACACAGCTCATAAGAGTCAGAAGTGGGGATTTGAGTGACTCCAAAATCCATGCTGGAAACCGCTCGGCCTCTCTGCCTCCCGGTCAGTTCAATACAGCCATCACGTCCGGGCACCCACGGTCAGGCGGAGTGCCAGCCGCTCCGAGTCTGCAGGTTCTAGGGGAGGCAGAAATGCGGATAGGTATACTGTAAGGGAGAGCAGGACAACGCAGAGGGAACACCAGGAAGCCGGCTGTGTGTGTGACACCCTCCCTCCCACCTCAGCTTCCAAACCTCTGAAGTGCAGCTAATGACAGTGCCAGCTCTGTGGTTGCTGTGAGGACCTGACCTGAAGTGAGGCACAGGAAACGCTCAGTCACTCGTAGTTATTGTCATTATCATCACGATAATTATAATTGTATGTGAGGGCTTCCCTGGCGGCACAGTGGTTAAGGATCCGCCTGCCAATGCAGGGGACGCGGGTTCGAGCCCTGGTCCGGGAAGATCCCACATGCCGCGGAGCCACTAAGCCCGTGTGCCACAACTGCTGAGCCTGAGCTCTACAGCCTGCGAGCCACAACTACTGAAGCCCGCGCGCCTAGAGCCTTAGGCGCGCAACAAGCTCCGCAACAAGGGAAGCCACCGCAGTGAGAAGCCCCTGCACCTCAACGAAGAGTAGCCCCTGCTCGCCACAACTAGAGAAACCCCGCGGGCAGCAACGAAGACACAACGCAGACAAAAACAAAAAATTTAAAAAAAAAATTGTATGTGCAATAGGGACTCAGAACTGTGGGAGTTTCTTGGTGAGAGTTTATTTCTGATGGGAGGATCAGGGAAGATGGATGGATGGATGGATGGATGGATGGATGGATGGATGGATGGGCAGGGTCACTTCAAGTCTCCAGGGCAGGGCCAGAGCATTCCAGGTGGAGAGAACAGGAAGCTGGGGGGGGGGGGGGCGGGGGGCAGTTGGGGATGGCGGGAGCCAGGTATGTGGGTGGAGTCACAAGCTGGAAAGGCCAGTGGGGCTAGCAGGGGTGAGGGCAGTGTGGGTGGGGTGGAGGATGCCTTGGAAGTCAGCCTGGGGAAGCTGGACGCAGCAGGCCCCATCAACTCTGGGGCAGGGCAGGAATCAGGGATGGGAGGAGGGCCCTTCTGAGGGCAGAACCATAGCTCCGTACCCCTCCCTCTGGAGAGAGGTCAGAGTCAGGGCTGGTGCAGACCTAAGCACACAATTATGCAAATATGTCAGCTGAGAGGCTCTGGGGCTCGGGCAGCCACTGAGGGGGAGAACAGAGAGCCAGGGCTCACATGCCCCAAAGGCCAGACCTCCCCTCCTACAAGGCCATCCCTCTCCCGGCCCAGCGGAAAAAGCTGTTGCCGGAAGCCATCTCCCCTGGCTTCAGGGACCGACACCCTCTCCCCCCCGACCCCTGGTCACTAAGCAGTGCTGCCCAGTGGAAATAGCATAAACTTGGGTGTCAGAAAAACCTGGGTTTGAATCCTGCCTGTGTGCCCTTGGGTAGATCATTTCCTCCCCTCTCAGTGTCCACCTCTCAGAGCCTTATCTATAAAATGAGGACCGGAGTCACTCGCAGGGGTGCGATGAGGATTAAATGAGATGACACCCTTGAAGGGCCCAGCATGACGTGGCGCACAGTAGGTGCTCAAGGCCCCCTCCCCTTCTCCGTGCCCAGTTACTGCCTTCTCTTCCCCTCTCTGCCCCAAGGGGACGCCAAATCTTCACATGGCAAACTGAACTTGCCCCTTTTCTCCTTTCCCACAATCTCTCTTCTACTCACAGCCCTCTGATGTCCTGGTCCTCCCGACAGACCTGAACTCTCATACATCTTCTCTGCCTCTGAGCCCCAACCCTGTCCACTCTGAGCCTCGCGGTCTCTGGCAGGCAGCACCTCATGGCTGCTCCCCTTCCTCCAGGCTGCCCCCCACCTGTCCCACATGCACGCTGCCCCTCAGTGCACACCGACCAGGCCAGCCTCACCTGCTCCAACATGTTCCTGGCTCCCCCGAATCTCCAGGATCAAGTCCAAGCTCCTTGGGTAGGGGTGGCACCTTCGAGGCCCTTTATGAGCTGGTCAAGCCTCACTTTCCCACCCCTTCCCCTGCAGCTACAACGAATCACTGGCTCCCCTCCATGCCTGCCCCTGGCTGACTCAGATCATCTGAGTCTGAGTTCTAGCTTCAGCGACACTTATTGGGTATGTGGTCTTAGGCACAGTTTCTGAGCCTCAGTTTCCTTATGCATAAAAAGGGGCAATGAGGGGCTTCCCTGGTGGCGCAGTGGTTGAGAGTCCGCCTGCCGATGCAGGGGACGCGGGTTCGTGCCCCGGTCTGGAAAGATCCCACACGCCGCGGAGCGGCTGGGCCCGTGAGCCATGGCCGCTGAGCCTGCGCATCCGGAGCCTGTGCTCTGCAACGCGAGGGGCCACAACAGAGAGAGGCCCGCGTACCGTAAAAAAAAAAAAAAAAAAAAAAAGGGGGCAATGAGACCCACCTCCTAGGGCTGCTGTGAGGATTAAACGAGAAAGGGTGCCTGCCCCCGGCACTCTCTGCACCCAGGCAGTGGGGCTGTGGATGTTGTTACTCCCTCTGTCTGTAACGTCTCCTTTCTCTGCTCTCAGGATAGAGCTCAGTTGTCAGCTCCAGGGGGACCTGGGCAACCCTGACGTATGGCCAGAGGAGCCTAGGACATGACCTTGCGGCTTCTGGGCCTATCCCCCAAGAACCACTGCAGGGTCAAGCTTGTTCTGCTCTCTTCTGGGCCCAGGACCTGGCCCTCAGTTAGCTACAGCAGGAGTGTCGACTGAAGAAATTATTGAATGAATCCCTGAATCCAAGATAGAACCATCTCCAAATCCTCCACACCTGCCCCAGTGTTCAAGCAGAATTCAAGGTCTGCAAGGTCTGCAAGGTAAATGATGGACTGAGATTTCAGGGAGCTGGACTCTGGACCAACCTCGGGCAAGTCAGTTTCCCCATCTGTAAAGTGGGGAGAGGATGGAAGTGGATGGTTTCTGAGGTCCCTCCCCATTTGGATGCTCCCTGAGGCAGTTAGGGTTTTGGTGAGGAGGTTGAGTTCTGAGCCAGACAGACCTGAGTCTGAATCCCAGCTCTGCCTCCTGCTCGTGGTGTGGCCTTCGGCAAGTTACTGAGCCTCTGAGCCTCAACGTTTTCTTCTGTGAAATGGGGCTGATCCTAGCCCCACTGGGGGAGTAGGGAAAGGGAAAACAGCTGCTGTGAGGATTCAACGCCCGTAACAGCACCTGGCACATAACAAGGGTCCAATACCCTCTGACTAGAGTTTTTTTTAGGGTTGTTACTGTTTCTGTTGTCACTTCCTACCAGATCCTTTTCTCTCTAGAAAATAATCATCCTGGGGCCCCAACTTCAATTCTGAGTTTTGACACCGTGGCCTGTGCTTAGCCAAGGTGTCCTGGATGAACAGGCTTTCCTGGCTGCTGACTGACAGACACCTGTGAAGAGGGAAGTAGAGATGCTAACAGCAGCCCAGGGTCTGACTCAACGCCAGCCTCGCCCCCATGGAGGCTGCTCTTTGCACACAAATCCTGCCCTCTCTTGGGAGAAGTAACATCAGAGGCCACTTCCCCAGGACACAGACAACCTGGCTGCCTCCCTGTCCACAGTACAAAATAAAGCGCCTTCACATCAGTTGTCTCTGGATAGGCAGCAACTCTCTCTCCCTCTTTATACATTAAGTGGACAGTTTTGTTCTTATTTCCACTTCCCAAGTTGGGAAAGGGTGCAGAGAAGGCAGCACTTTCCACTCAGCTGGAAGAAGCCAGCACCAGGATTTGAATCCAGTCCCCCAGCTCTGTTCTTTCCCCGTGTGGCTGCCTCAGTGTCTCTGAATCCCTATGCCCAACTCCTCAGGGCTCCCATCCCAGGCTGATCCACTGCTGTCTCCCTTGGCATGAAGGAGGCCTTGGGAAGGGCTCCAGTGGTCACATGAGACCTGGAGAGGGTGGCTGGGACTGCATCCAATCCCTCCTCTGGAGGTTAGGAAGCTGAGAAGGCCAGAGAGCCGGATGCCATGCCTGAGCAAGATGACAGCCAGCACCTGCCCTCGGTGCATCAGCTGGCACGGGCAGACTGTGTCCTTAGCCTGACCCTGTGCTGAGCACACTTAAAATACAAAGACAGACAGGGTGCGGGGGAGACAACTACCCAGCCCTCAGAGGCAGCTCCGAGGCCATGTGTGGCCAGTTAGCTAAGCTTCAAATCCTGTCCCTGCCATTTACCATCTGGGTGACCAAACAAGTCACTGAATTCCTCTGAGCCTCTGTTTTCTTATCTGTAAAAAGAATAAATTACAGTACCCACTCGACAGGGTGTTATGAAGATTAAATGAGGCTATATCAGAAAAGCGCTTAGTATAGTCCCAGGCAGTGGGCTAGGGCTCAGTAAGTATTGGCCGAGAAGCCCCCAAAGCCTTCTGAGATGGGGCTCCTTCCATCCTCTTTGCTCTATGGTCCAGTGCTCAGCAGTGAAAAAAAAAGGGAAGGTACATGCACCTGCACACACACACACACACACACACACTCACAAAACATGCTCACATGCCATTTACACAACAAAAATTCTGTAGAACTATAAAGCAAATCTTTAAGAAAAAGACCATGTTTTTCCAAGGGGTAGAATTATGGGGGATTTTAACTTTTACATTATATAGCTCTGTTTATTATGTTAATTTTATAATCAGAAAAAATAAAGATATTTAAAAATTGTCGTGTGCTACTGTGTGCCAGGCACAGCATCAGGCACTTTTGATACAGCCTCCCTAACCCCTACAGCATCCTTCCCAGGAAGGTCATGTTATCCCCACGTTCTAGATGAGCCGGTGGAGGCTTAGAGAAGTGAAGTGATCTGACCAAGGACACACAGATTACCAGTGACGATGCCAGGATCTGACCCCAGTATTGGAATCTGGGGTACAAAGTGATTCTGCCTGGCAGGTCAGGGGAAGCTTCATGAAGGAGGTGATATCTGCGCTGAGCCTGGAAAGCTGAGTAGGACTTCTGTAGGCCTGGGCTCTCAGCCAGGGGTGATTTTGACCCTGGAGGACATTTGATGAAGCCTGGAGACATTCTCGGTTGCCAGAGCTTGGGGTGGGTGGTGCTACTGGCATCCAGTGGGTGGAGGCCAGGGATGCTGCTAAACATCCTACGGTGCATAGGATTGCCTTGCATAACAGAGACTTATCTGGCCCCAAATGTCAATAGTGCCAAATATGATGTAACATACTAGAGCTGTCATTTATCGAGTGCTTACTATGTGTCAAGTTCTGTACCAAGTTCTTGCAAATGTCCTCTTACTTAATTCAACCCCATTATTCCCATGCTGTGAACGAGGGACCTGAGGCTCAGAGATGATAAGGAACTTCCCAAAGGTCACACAGCCAGAAAATAGGAGTGCAAGATTCGAGTTGCCTGAATACAAAGCCAGAGCCTTTAACCTTTCCGCTCTGCTGCCTCCAGGATTTATAATAAATGAAAAAAGCTCCAGGCCAACTGCTAAGCAGCCGGGTGTGAGGAGGAGTAGCCTCCTCTGGCCTCAAGGCCTTGGGAAAGGTCCCCCCCCTGCCCCGGGGCATTTCCCCATCTGTCAAATGAAGTTTGCATCAGGCAATCTCCAAGGCCCTGCCAGCTCTGAGTCTGTTATTCTCCAGGAGAGGGGTCCAAGGCTCCAGGAGCCCTGGGGACAAACCACCAGCTGCTGGGAGAGGAAGGGGTGTGATGGGCAGGCTCAGCCTCATTTCCAGTGCATAACTGCTAATGAGCCCCACTTCCCCATGAAGAGAGAGGTTGGGGTGGGGAGGGTGGGGAGTGGCTTGAACCTCACCCAGGAGCTTAATTCTCCAGGGGGAGGCATGTTTCTCTGCTACTTTCTTGCCAAGCCCAAAGGAGGCACCAAAGCAAGGCCTCCTGCTCAAGTGAGAGGCAGCTCTGGGCATTTGCCCAGCTGGGCACATGAGCTCTCAGAGGTAGAAGGAGAAAGAATGGGAGCACTTGCCAATCCAGCCCCTACCAAGTGCCAGGCATCTCAACACAGGTTCATCTCAGGTCAGCCTCATGAAAATCCTGGTAGGAAAGAATCACCCTGACCCCGGTTTATAGGTGAGAGAATCAAGGCTTCCACGTGCTGATCACACAGACAGTGCTAAAGGAAGGTCTGGAACCCAAGTGTGACTGACCCCAGGACAGTACACTAGAGGGTAAGTGAGTGGCAGTCCTTTTTTTTCTTTTCACCCAAGAATGACAGTGTTTCAATAACGTTTGGGGAAAATATATGTTCATTTTCTCCTGCCTGCCCCAGGTCATGGAATGGACTGAAAAAAACCACAACACAATAATTTGGATTTCCTGGTTTGAGGACAGGGGAACCAAGCCTTGGAACACAGAGTTCTCCCCAGCTAGCAAGTCAGACAGGGAGAGGAGGGGGTGGGAAGGAGGGGTGAGACCCAGCCGGGGTCAGGCTGAGCTTCCCCGGCCGGTGCTCTCACTGTCTGGCAGTGTGGCTTTGGGTAAGTCACATCGCCTCTCTGGACCTCAGTCCGCACATCTACATCATGAAGAGGCTGGGCAGATGGTTTCAGACAGAGTCCCTTCAAACTCACAACCTGCACCTAGTCCTGTCCAAGCTTCTCTCCTCTTCCCTGTTTATGTGATTTCATAGATGGGGAGACGGGGATACCAGTGCCTGACCTTGGTTTACAAGGGGCTCTGGGGGTGGGCGGTCAATGCCAATCTTGTGCAAGCTCCCAGAGCCCCCAAATCTTGCTCTCCATCCTCAAACAGCCAAACTGGAAGGGAGTCGGTGGTGGTTGGGGATTAAAGGGACAAGGAGCGGGTAAGGTGAACATGGAGTCATTTCTCGAATAGGGCCAGGGCATCTGCTGGTGCAGGCTGGCTCACAGAGACTCATGTATAAGGGGGGGAGGGGTGACCCCCTACAACAGGGAAAATAGTTATTTCGCTCCTGCTTAAGGAGTCAAAAACCTTCTTCTTCCGAAGGCTCCACAGCCTGGGCCAGCTCAGGTCAGGACTAGTCATTCATTCAGCCTTTACTGATGTTCACTGTGGGCCAGGCCTTGTGGCAGGCTTTGGGGCCATAGATATGATGACTAAGAGACTTATCTTGGGGACTGTGTGCTAGCCTGGTATCCCAAGGCCAAACACACGGGGCTACTAGATTTAAATGGTTTAGCTTGAGAAAAAGATTCCAGGCTCAAATAACCTTGGGAATCATTTTATTAAACACAGCAAAATGGGTTTCTTTGCTACAAGATTTCTCCAGGCCTTTAATATGCAAATGTACACTGAGAATCCTCCAAGGAGGGTATAGAGAATATACTATATATCCCAAATGTAGCTAATCTTGGAACACTGTTTTTTTTAAAAAACATTATACTTATTAACAAAGATTGGGAAGATGCAGCTCTAATGCTATTGTTTTGGCCAGTGGAGCTTAGAGAAGGCTTACACAGAGAGGGCATTTGAGCAGGGCTTTAAGAGTTGAGTAGGAGTTAGTCTGTGAGGACAGGAAGGCTTAAGGGAGACCAATTACAGTCCTAGGCTGACTATGTTCAGGTTACCCTGCATGTACTGTTTCATTTAGTCCTCAAGGTCCTGATGCTGGTGACAGAGCTAAGGAGGTCACCAAAAGTCCCTGGAGACTTCTAGAGGTCCACCTCCCTCGCTTTTCTTGAATCACCTCGCCTCGGGGCCTTATTCTCCAAATCTTGAGTCTTTAAGTCCTGTCCTCACTCTCAACTTGGCCTCTACTGTGATTTAAACCCAGAATGGTCTTTACAGTATCTGAACTTGATCCCAGCCTTAGCCCCTCATACACCTTGGCCTAGCCCCTGGCACCAAAACCTGCTCTCTCAGCAGTTTGCTGACACTCATTTAGACCCTCTCTTAGATTTAACCCTGACCTGCCCAGAGCGATCTAGCCCACGTACTGCTCCCCAGGCCCTGATGCATACCTGATTGAACCCCGGGTCATCATGACCCAAAGCCTGCAGCTCAGCTACTCCGTATAGTCCAGACTCATCCTCGGATGGCGGCCCCACCTCCTGTCTAGCCCCGACTTTGTCCCATTCCCCATCTGTGTCTTTGTCTCCAACTCAGTCCTGAACCCTTCTTACGTGGGTCCTGTCTCCAGGTCCAGCCCCATGACCCCTCACAGTGGCCCTGCCCTTGCCCAGCTCTGATTCGGCTCCGTCCCTAACCTTGTCCAGGCAGTGCCTGGTTCAGCTCTGATTTCATCTGTCCCTGCCGTTCTACTCCATTGGTGATCTCTCCCCAACTATGGACCCACCCACCCCCCACTTCAGGTCTCTCTGAGACCCCGCCTGGTGAGCATTGCCCAAGGCCCCACCCTCAACACCGCCTCCTCGCCGCGGCCCCGCCCCGTCCTAATTCTGATAGGGCCCTGACCCTGCCGGCGGCCCCGCCCCATGGCAGTTCTGACTGGGCCCTGCCTGCGGTCCAACCCTGACCCCGCCCCCGGGCCGGCCCCGCCCCCGCCCCAGGCCCGCCAAGCGGCTCACCTGCAACTCCTCGAAGGCGTCATCGATGCCCGTGACTTGGTGCTGCTCATGCAGCGCGGGTTCATCGCAGAAAAAGCAGAGCAGCGCGCGGTCCGTGAGGCAGAAGAGCTTGACCTTGTCGTGTGCCTGGCAGGGTCGCGCGGCACGGCGTGCACTGAGGATGGCGTCCAGCGGGAAGGCGCTGTAGCGCTCCACGATGTTGGCCAGCTTGAGGCTGGGCGCGAGCGCGGGCTCGGCAAACGTGCGCCGGCACTCGGGGCAGTCGCGGGCGCCCTGAGCCTCCTGCCTCACCCAGTGCTCGGTGATGCAGCGGCGGCAGAAGTAGTGCTCGCAGCCCAGGCTCACCGGGTCCTGGTAGATGCTCAGACAGATAGAGCAGAGCAGCTCGTCCTTGAGGCTGCACGCCATGGCGCCGGGGACGGCGGAGAGGGTCCCCCGAGATGCAGGGGGCCGGCTGGAGAGCGCGACGCTGTCGGGGACAGCACCTAGGGATGGGTGCGGGGAGCAGGCCCGGAGAAGCAGGAGCTACAGGAGAAGGAATGGGTGCTGTCTGGGAGTGGGGTAACGCGAGTAAGAGGTGTGGGGTAGAGACTACCCGGGAAGCGAGCCCAGGAAGGTGGTCTCGAGGCAGAGGGTGACCCGGAGCGATGGGTGCTGGAGGGAGGGAGCCGTAGGTGTCTGAGGGAAGGTGCACCTAGCAAGAAGCTTCTAGGGAAAGGGGCAGTCAGAAGGGATGTGTGCTGGGATAAGGGGCTCTAGGAGGGGGGCGGAGGCCTTGGGGGGCTGTAATACCGGTATGGGTGCGGTGGGGGGAGGGGGAGAAGCTGGGGATGGGGAATTTAGGGGGAGGGGAAGCCCGGCAGAGCCTCACCTCGGCTGTGCCTGGCAGAGGAGAGGAGGGCTGTGAGCACGCTCAGCTGCCCGATCCCGGCCCCAAGTCCCGGCCCCGCGCGGCCCCTTACCCCCGCCGGCTCAGCGGCCACTGCTCCGGTCCGAGTGCAGCCTCTCAACCCGGAACCAGCCGAGCCTGAGTAGCCGGCGGAGGTGGCTCCCTCCCCGCCCCCGAGGGCGGGGCCTCAGCGACTCCACCCCCG